GGTGAGTCAGGAGGACAAAAGGAGCAGATCCCGGGACAAACACTAAACGGACTAGACCACAAGTCGACTTTGAAGCATAAGAGAGAGAAAGTGGCAATTACTAGCTGCGTTTGGACGTGCAAGCTGCTCTGGGAAAAATGTTGTTACGTTGTTACGTTGTTCCTTGTTCAGTCCAATTGTAGAACAACATTAGCTGAAGATGTGCAAGTGCCGAGCTGGTCGTAGCGTCAGGTCGGAGTTCGAATATTTGGAGTCAAAAAACGTTCCGAGGAGTGTCAAGTTTCTGATTGGTGTTTGAAACTAGAACAGGCGATCTTTTACCTTGGATGGAGGAGGCCGGTAAATTATTGACTAGACAGGTGGAGATACTAAACGGAATGGAGAAGAAAGTAGAGCAGGCCCGCCGGGCCGGGACAGCCTTATATAATTCATGTGGCGTTGCGGAGATTGGATCGAGGACCCGGAATCCCTGTGGCGTGTAGAGCTCGATTTGTCAATTCTCCACCTTGAAGGAAATTCCGGTTGCGAAATACGGCGCCTCATGTTCTCAGCTGACCCGCCGCTGTCGATTAGTGTTTTACTCAAAAGGTTTATGCTGTAACACGGCATCCACATCAGGGTATCTTGATCGTGCCTTCATTGTTTTATCCTGCGACTCTGTACGGCACAGTGCAACTTTAAACAGCCAATTCTATATCCTCAGCAAGACATAGGGACTACAGCTGAACGTTTGCGCCGTCTTTCAATGGGCACATGGTGTAGTTGGTTATCACGCCCGCTTAGCATTTCGGTGTCTGCGGGCGGTCCCCGGTTCAATTCCGGGTGTGTCCAGTTGCGTTATTTATTTTTTCTTTGAGACCGACCTTGAGCGATAAATTGTCGTAAGACTCGTACAGGAAGCGAGTCATTCAAAGTTGTGAGCCAATTGCTTGAAGTTTTGTTGAGAGCGTGAACGTTCTGCAACAAATCGGGTAACGTGATTCTGACAGAGGCAGTGAGCAAACACGACGTGTCGATTAGGCAACGGCCTCTGCAATCTCCAATCCTCAGCTCGCAGAGCGCTGCACGACGACGAATAGTCGCACAAATATCGCGAGTCGGGCCAGGACCCTCCCGACGCTGTCTTGCGCGCAATGATACCACGAACGGTCTCATCTGGAATGGGCGAGCGCAAAAAGCGGATGTCATCCTTGTTGCCAATCGACTCAGTGGCCGCCAGCTCTTCTGCATCTCACAGGTACCAGGTCGCAAGAAGCCCGTCACCGCCTGCATCAACGTACTTCCCGTTGCTCTCTGTCGACACTGGCGGGCGGCTCCGGTCGATTCCAGACGCCGAAGCCCACTTTGCATACAGCACTACGCTGCGGCGACATCCCTCGGAAGCTGCAGCGCTTACATCGCCGACCCACATCGCACAGGCGGTCAATGCCGAGGCGCAAAGTCTCTGGTCGAGGCTGGCTGCGTCTGTGACCGGCCGTCGGCCTGATTACGAGCCTCTAGTGGAAAACGGACGCGTTACACCGCCCGCACGAGGAGACACACCCACGACAACGGCTTCTGCTCAATTCGCACATACCTCTGTTCAAGTGCGCAACTGATTCTCATGTCACCCTACGAAGCTCACTTTTTCTCAAGGATACCATCGCACATTTTCGTACATCCGCGGAACACGGCCTCTTACAACGGGACATTCCAAATCTTCACGCTACACACGGTTATAATGAATTCTCAGTATCCACCCCGGAACCACTTCTCTTCAAATTCGCAAAAACTATCTATGAAAGTCCTTTAATTCTCCTCCTGTGCGGGAGCGCGTCTGTCAGCGCGATCATGGGTAATATAGATGATGCAGTTAGCATCACTGTAGCTGTTCTGATTGTATTAACCGGTCAGCAATGTTTTCGCATCTGGTTCTCTTCTCCTCTTGACGTGTTCCCAGTTGGATTCATTCAAGAACGACGCTCAGAAAAGTCGCTAGAAGCACTCAACAAACTAGTCCCGCATCACTGTCATGTAATACGCGAAGGCGAAACGAAACATCTCCTCGCAAACGAGCTCGTCCCTGGCGATATCGTCACATTCTCTACGGGTGATCGTGTACCCGCCGACATACGTATCGTGTCTTCGATAGATCTAGAAATTGACGAAAGCAGCTTGACGGGAGAGACGGAAGCACGGAGAAAGGATGAGGAGACGTGCCAGTATGATGTCTCTCAGGGACGCGCGACGAGTGACCCTGTTGCGCTCGCAGATCGGACGTGTATTGCGTATATGGGAACACTGGTTAGAAATGGTATGTCATCAGAATGTGGAGTACTGTTCATTCATGGCCTTATCTATACCCTAGGCCGTGGCTCTGGAGTGGTCATAGCAACGGGAGCTGCGACTGAGTTTGGAGTGATCTTTTCCATGATGCAGGATGTATGTGTGAATACCGAGATCGGTTTGAGTATGCCTCTCAAGCAGTGTGATTCAGGTCGAAGAGAAGCGTACCCCGCTGCAGCTCAGTATGGACGAACT